TTTATATATATATATATATATATATATTATATATATATATATATATATATATATATATATATATATATAATATATATATATATAGATATATATATATATATATATATATATATATGTTTATATAACTATACAGGGACTTATCTCCTTGTACCGCAGATTCGCAATACATATGCAGGGCTACCACTGTAAATACCATCTTCGTGTATCCAACAGACAAATGCAACTATATGAATGACTGCACCAACCAACCTAGTACCAGGTCACTTAGCTTCAGAGTTTAGGGTTCTAGGGTTGAGTTGGTTAGCTGATCCATTGCACTCCGTCACTACACCCCTCACACATCCCACGGCCACTGCCCCCCACTGACGGCTATGCGTTGTTTGGGTTTGGTCGTTGGCTTGGCAGCGTATGTCCCGTCTAGTGCGTCTGGCAGCTTTCTTGGGTTGGTGGCGCTTGCAGGTGCGTGCGTTGCCATGGCAATGCTCATCTTCAGAGACGAAGTCATGTGGCGATCGTTTGGGCGTGGCACCAACCATGTGCAACCAGGATTCTACTACAGCAACACCCCCCGCAATAACCGCATAGCTGCAGGGGTAGACGAACACTACAACCCTACATGGTATGAACTCATTCATCACATGAAGTATCACATCATATGAACCAATTCATCACATTACACAACACATCATAAATATACCACATGACATAATTGGACAGTTTTTATATTTATATCGCGACACCCCAAATGCAATCCACTCAGACAAACAACATGCAAGGTTTTAGGGTTTAGGGTTTTATTATAGTTTTTGGGTTTTGGAGTTTGGGTAACTGCACACCCTTCCGGTTGTACACTCGTCATCATTTGTAGATAACACGTCACGTCACGTCACACATGTGTATCTCTAGTCTCAGCTGATCTCTGGGCCCAGTGGCTGTCAGTGCGTGTGCTGTGCAATCGAATATCTTGCACAGTCTCTTGCAGTTCGCCTTATTGCTTACTTACTTGGGGTGGCTGGTCGCAGGGGATTGGCAAAGCTTCTGGCACCCATTGCCTATATATATATATATATATATGTGTGTGTGTGTGTGTGTGTGTTATATATATATATATATATATATATATAAATAACTGCTGCTTATGACACCTATTGCCCGTGCACCTGTCCTGCTGCAGGTGGCTGTTCACAGGGACGCATGCGACGCTGTATCCGTTTCTCACGTACACAATTGAGGAAGTTCGGTACAAGCGCATGTGGGTGTGGAATCCAGTGGATGGGGAGAAGGTGGGCCTAGACATAGCGTTTCCCAGTGACAAGGGTTTTCAGCCGGATAGGCCTGTGCTGCTGGTGCTGCATGGACTGAATGGCGGCAGTAAGGAGCTCTATTGTATGGACCTGGTCAAGCGCGCGTGTGCTCAGGTAGGTAGTTGTAATGGTGCTATGTTTGTGTTAGTAGTTGTGATGGTGTTCTCTGTGTGTGACATGTGTGCTTACGTAATGGTGCTATGTTTGTGTGAGTAGCTGAGTTTCTTAGTGTGTTGCGTGTGTTGTTCTGAATGGCTGTGCTGAATGTGTGCGATTGTGTGCACAAGGTAAGACCAATTTTGGAAAACGAACATGATATGTGACATTATATTGGGTTGGGTCTTGATACTTTTGTATCATCGAATTTATTAGGTTTTAGTGTTTTTGTGTTGCTGTATTGGGTTGTATTGTATATGCTTTGCTAACTATCTTGGCCTTTTCTGTTTTTGTGTTGCTAATTACCTTGGGTTTTGGGTTTTCTGTTGGGATTTCAGGGGTACACGTGTGTAGTGATGATTGCGCGAGGGCTTATGCAGACACCACTGACTTCAGCCAATCTGTTCAACGGCACACGCACAAGTGACTTACGTGCGACGATAGTGGCGCTCAAGGATGTGCTTCCCAGCGACACGAAGATGGTGGGGTGTGGCTTCTCCATGGGAGCCATCATTCTCAACAATTACCTCACGCGATGTGGCGACGATGCTGGGCTGGAGGCTGGTAGGGATGGTTGGATTGTGTAGGGTTTAGGGTCTAGGTTAAATTAGGTGTTTGTATGTAAGATTGTATCGTGTGCACGTGTTAAGGTCAGTTGTTGTATGTAAGATGGTGGGGTGTGGCTTCTCCATGGGAGCCATCATTCTCAACCACTACCTGAAGAGTTTCATTTGCAATCGCACTGTTTCATTTCGGTGACAATTGCTGACGCCTAGAGACTTTGCGGCGCAGTGAAGTTGTGTATTGGCTATGGACTGAGTCATGGTTGGCACTGTGTTGTACACTCAACTCTAACCTCTAAAGCCTAAAACCCTAAAATCAGTTGGTGCTGTCTTGTACACTCAGCACTAAATCCTAAACCCTGAACCCTAAATTCTCACATGTCTTTTGGCCACCCCATGCTATGCTATTATATTTTTGCACCCTCCGTACACAAAGCCGTCCATAACGATTGCCTTGTTAGCAGAATTAATGTGAAACGTATTGATTGTCTGCTGAGTTGAATTGGGTGATTGCCTTATTAGCAGAATTAATGTGAAACGTATTGATTGTCTGCTGAGTTGAATTGGGTGATTGCCTTGTCAGCAGATTTAATGTAAAGCGTGTTGATTATCTGCTGAGTTGAATTGGGTGATTGCCTTGTCAGCAGAATTAATGTAAAGCGTATTGATTATCTGCTGAGTTGAATTGGGTGATTGCCTTGTCAGCAGAATTAATGTGAAACGTATTGATTATCTGCTGAGTTGATTTGGTTGATTGCCTTGTTAGCAGAATTGATGTGAAACGTATTGATTATCTGCTGAGTTGAACTGGGTGATTGCCCATCACCTGAGCCGCAATGCTTAAAGGGTGGGCTATTCATAGAGTCGATTGTTTCCTCCAGTGGTTATTATGTCTCTATTGTTATAAGCTCACTTGTTTATATTGTTATAGTTCATGTATTTGTATTGTTATACTTTTTATGTTTGTATGCATCTGTTGTTATATGCTCATGTTTATATATACCCCCACTCCTTCTGCAGCTGTTTCATTGTCGGGTGGATTTGACTCGGTTAAGAACTCTCTGTACGACGCCTCGCGAAAGGTGTGGCAGCCGTTTCTCGTGTATGCGCTCAAGAAAAACTTCATCACTGAGAACCTCGACCACCCTGGCTTCCAGGAAATTGACCTGTAAGTGTCTTTATTGAATTCTGTTGTCCTTTTATTGTAGATGAAATTCAACAGCTGGTGTCTTTATTGGACCGATGTTGTCCTTTTAACATAGATAAAATTGGCCTGTTGGTGTCTGTATAGGACTAGTGTTGTCCTTTTAATGTAGATTAAATTAACCTGTTGGTGTCTTTATTGGACCGATGTTGTCCTTTTAACATAGATAAAATTGGCCTGTTGGTGTCTGTATAGGACTAGTGTTGTCCTTTTAATATAGATTAAATTAACCTGTTGTCTTTATTAGACTGATGTTGTCTCTTTGACATAGATGAAAATTGGCCTGTTGGTGTCTGTATAGGACTAGTGTTGTCCTTTAATATAGATTAAATTAACCTGTTGGTGTCTTTATTAGACTGATGTTGTCTCTTTAACATAGATAAAATTGACCTGTTGGTGTCTGTATAGGACTAGTGTTGTCCTTTTAATATAGATGAAATTAACCTGTTGGTGTCTTTTTGGGACTGATGTTGCACTATTAACATAAATGAAATTACCTGTTGGTGTTGTCCGGTAACTGCAAGTAACGTGTCAGGTGTAGAGTCCCTTCACAGTACACCTCCACAGCTATTCTCACAAACCGTAAACCCTGAAACCCTACAATTGATGGGTCGTCGTGTCGCACAATAGCCCATGGCAAGGACTGTCTCTGTAGTTCCACCAAAGCGATAGAAGTGTTGAGTAGCTAGGGCTCAGTCATCTCTGGAGGTTTAGGGTTTTAGGCTTAGCCACTCCCCAACCCTAAACCCTTGTTTCAGGGTTCAATGCTGAGGGTGGGAGAAATCCCTTGGTTTGGCAGATAGACGAGAACGTTTGTCTTCATAACTACCACAGCAAACAACCTGAATTAGTAAAAACCTTAAAACCCTGAAACCCTGAAACTTAGCCATCCTAAACCTAACCAGCCTTGTATCGCCTCGCTGCACTCAGGCATAGGGCACACAGAGCCAGAGATGTGATTGAGTTTGACACAGCGCTGTCAGCTCCCTTGGCGGGATTCCCTACACTGGAAGACTACTACCGCGAAATGAGCGGTAACTATGACGACCGCATGGACCAAATAAGGATACCCCTGTTGGCGCTGCACGCCGTCGACGACCCTGTACGTTGCATTTATAATCCCTAAACCCGAACCCCTGTGTATTGTAACCCTAAACCCTGGGCATTGTAGCCATAAACTCTGTACCGCGAGCGAGAACAGAGAGGCGTGTGAGCATAAACAGGCCACTCTGTGTGTAATCCATACAGCAATGGTTAGTGTGTCCACATAAGGAGTGTTTCCGATGCTCCTGCATTAGCTGTCCCATGTTTAGTGATAGGGCCGATGTCTTCGTTTAGGTATCTGCGCAAGTGAAATATATATATTTATATTTATATATATACATATATATATATATATATATATATATTATATTTATATATTATATATAATATATAATATATATATTTATATATATATATGTATGTATGTATATATATATATATATATGTGTGTGTGTGTGTCTTCGTTTAGGTATCTGCGTATGTGAACTGAAGTGAACTGAATGCGGACGATCTCTCAGACGTTCGCATTCGCATTGTCTTGGAATTTCACGCCTTGTGTAAGCAAAGCGCATGCTGTGCATGTGTAGTGCTGCGTAGTCGACCTAGCCTAAAGATGTAAACCCTATACCCTAAACCCTAAACTAAATCCCAGATACATGCCTAGTGCTAGTGGGTTGCTACAAAACTTCCACGGGCGACACTCGCGTCTCAGCTAAACAGTCGCATTCGCTGTGCCTATGAATAGTCACTGCGTCTCATATCCCTCCCATAACTCTCTCTCGTCTTCCACCTGCGCAGATCGTCGACGTCGATTCCATTCCGCTGGCGCACACAGCCACTAATGCCAATCTGTTCTTTCTGGTGACGATGAATGGCGGTCATGTGGGATGGCCCACTGGCGTACGCCCCAACCAGTCGCAGTTTGGGTTCATGTCCAATGTGGTGCTGTCGTTCTGCCACTCGGCGTTAACGTGTGCGCACGGCTGAGCGAGTGGCCTGCGGATGAATTAGTTACCTCTGAAAGCGTTTAGCAGCTCGTCACTACTTGTGTGCAAAGGGATTGAAAGTGTTGGGCAGCTAAGACATTCAAAGCGCCGCCAAAACGAATGAGATCACTCTGACAGTCATTTGATAGGCAGTCACGAATAGAGGTGTAAATAAATTTTAGTTTAGTATTACGACAGTCTTATGCTTAACGCATTGGGCTACGCTCGCACTCTGTTGGGCTTGCTTTACAGCTGTGCATATATAACTCTAAAAACCCTAAAACCCTAAAATCGTTCGCAAAATGGTGCGTAATGATACATAGTCATTCCGCGATACTTACCAATGTTTTAGGGTTTAGGGGTTTTAAACCAATGTATGATATCTGCAGGCTCGATAGCAACGTAGGATCAATGCCAATAGGGCATGAGGCATTGCGTTCGCTTAGAGTGCAATATAGTGCTAACGGAATGAGATCAGGGGCATTAAAAGTGACCGAAGTCCAACGTGTACAGCAAGACCAACGCATAAGAGAGGTGGTATGTTTCGAATACGTTCAACTGTCCCGTATCGCATTTAGCCGTGGCCATTGCCAGCAACTGGTTCGAGATCTCGTGGTGATCGGAGTAGACTGTTGTAATGTTTTATATCGTATATGAACTACAAATGCTGTCCCATTGACTAGTTCTGTCACTTTTGAATGTATAATGCCTATTTTAACGTTTATATCAAATATGGTGCTGAACAAAAAACGTTGCCACGCTGACTAGTTTATCGCCTCTGCATGTATAATGTCCCTTTTAACGTTTGTATCATATATGACCTACAAATACCTCCCACTGATTAGTGGTGTCACCTTTGAAAGCATAATACCTATTTTAACGTTTATAACATATATGACCTACAAATGCTGTCCCCCTGACTAGTTTCATCATCTTTGAATGCATATTACTTTCATCTGCAGTCCTCGCCCTAGCGACTACGCAGTGACCCATTGCAATGTCACACACCATTTTTTAAGATCGAAACAAGCCTCATATACCACTCAGTGGGTGTGCTTATTGCCGTACGTTTGTGGGATATACTCTAGTGCGCCAATCCCGAAAACTGCAAGATTTTTGGTGTTGGGTTGTGCTTGAATTCATACACCAACACATCCGATTCATAGACAGAGGGTGCCGCCATTTGTTTGAGAGAGTGTGTTAACCCATACACGCTACTGTGGATGTGGTTACACCTAGGCCTATACCAATGCTCATAATTTAAATAGAGGGTACAACAGGTTTTTTATTTAATGAAATTGTTTCACAGGTCTATCGTGCACTAAAATTGTTGGGCTTATACTCTATTCCTTGTTTGGCTTGTAAGGTTTATTATTTACTAAAATTGTTTCACAGGTTCATCGTGTACTAAGATCGTTGGGCTTATACTCTATTTCTTGTTTGGCTTGTAAGGTTTATTATTTACTAAAATTGTTTCACATTGCTTGGCTTATACTCTATTCCTTGTTTGGCGTATACGCCACTCTATGCTTCCGTTGATGACTCACTAATGCTGGCAATATTGCCACCCCTGTTGGCTACCTTCGCTGAGCCTACCTTTGCGTCGCCCATTGGCAGTTCATACGTTGCCGTTGTACCGATGTCTTGCCTAAACACATACTCCAACGAGTACTCACCTGTCACAAGCGCATGAGCAAACAGTAAAGGATCAATGACAGCCGATTGCAGCAGTGCACTTTACTTTGATGTAGACCAAGGTCCACCATGCACACACGCGTGTACGATGCTACACTATAACACACTGTGTAATATATATATATATATATATATATATATATATATATATATAAATATTGTAATATTATTAGGTAAATGGACTCTAAATCATCCGCCGGATAGGGTATATACTACAGATGCACGCTGGTGTGAATGCAACGTCGGTTCATCTCTTGTGGATGCTCACTCCCACAATCTACCAACCGCGGCACCCTATACCTACCCAGCAACAGAAACATACACACTCTGCACACAATTGTACGTTTACGCCTTAAAACTGGCGATCCTCACAGCCCGTGACTGTGAATACGGAGAGCTCGAAACCACTCTACATATATCTCTAGCGGTTGATAGCTTAAGCGTGTAGGCACGGGTCGGTTCACCATTGAATGAAATACGATCAACAGCTTCAAAAGAAAGAGATTATTAATACCGAACGTACTACTGATAGGACTAAAGTACCACTACAATGTCAGCACAGGTCAACATACATACACATGTTCACAGAAATATGCTGAGTTAGCAAAACAAGGCAGAAGCAACTAGACATATAGAAGGTAGAACCTTTAAAATAGGACAGACACGTGACCATTGACCACATACCCTTGGTTTAAGTACTAGCACAGACATACTACCATTGACCACATACCCTGAGTTTAAGCACTAGGACAGATATATTACCATTGACCACATACCCTGGGTTTAAGCACTAGCACAGACATACTACCATTGATCACATACCCTGGGTTTAAGCACTAGGACAGACATACTACCATTGACCACATACCCTGAGTTTAAGCACTAGGACAGACATACTACCTTTGACCACATGTCCTAGGTTTAAGCACTAAGACAGACCTACTACCATTGACCAGATACCCTGAGTTTGAGCACTAGGACAGACATACTACCATTGACCACACACCCCGGGTTTAAGCACTAGGACAGACATACTACCATTGACCACACACCCTGGGTTCAAGCACTAGGACAGACATACTACCATTGACCACATACCCCGGGTTTAAGCACTAGGACAGACATATTACCATTGACCACACACCCTGGGTTCAAGCACTAGGACAGACATACTACCATTGACCACACACCCCGAGTTTAAGCACTAGGACAGACATACTACCATTAACCACATACCCTGAGTTTCCGGTGCACACGACTGTGAGCACGTGTACACACTCAGAAGTCCCCACTCGTCATCCAGCCGCAGGTGGTACAGCATCTGTGGCAGAATCTGCAACTCCAGTACACGCGCCGCCCCACACCGCTGACAGTTCGGTACAGCATCACTCAGCAACTTGTCTCTGCCGTCGATGGCTGTGACAGTGCACGGAGGCATAGTGTCTGCGTTAACCCACACAGTGTTCGTGTGATTCTCGAGCACATAGCGCAGCACTTGATCGGCACCGGTGGCTTTTACCTTTTAATAGAGAGAGAGGGGGCAGGGATATACATGAGTGGTGGGAAGGCACGGATTTATAGTGGAGGAAGCAAATGCGGATATGGGCTTAACCAAATATATATATATGTATATGTATTTAGAGATATATATTTGTATATATGTATATATGTATATACTTTAGTAAATTTAAACATATATATGTGTATACACATATACATATATACATATAAGTATATGTATATATAGATCTACGCACACACACATATATTTATATATATATATATGTATTTAAATGTATATATACTATATAAATATATATTTATATGTATATGAATGTATATATATATATATATATATATATATATACATATACATATATATATATATATATATGTATGTATGTATGTATGTATATATGTATGTATATATATATACTTATATATATATATATATTATATATATATAATATATATATATATATATATATATAATATATATATATATATATGTGTGTGTGTATATATATATATATATATCAAACTCACTACGCATACACTGACACACCTCACGTTGGAATGCTAGGAAGGCTCTATCCTTGTACACTTTGGCGTCGTCAAAGGGGATCTCCTCCTTGTCTAGTGGATCCATGCCCTCACGTGCTCGCTTGGCATTTAGTTCCGCCACCATCAGAAGATAGTCTTCCCATCGCTTGCTCTTGACCCTAGCCGAGACCCCCTCCGAGGCCCCCTCATCCTCATCGCTCTCATCGCTACTGTCTAAGTCTGATTCGTCAGCCTCTGCACGGACCACTTCGTCGCTGTATATATCCATCTCCCGCAGCACTGTGCGGGCAATCACCTGCTTGTCTTCGGGTGATTGTACTTTGGGGGTGGATGTAGTGGGTGTCTCCTTGCCTGTGCACGTGTTGCTATGGCCATACCGCTTCCAGTGTAGCCTCTGATGTGCACGTGAGCAGTAGTTTATGTCATGACACGACCCGCAGACCTTATCGCCTCGTGCACCGCACACAATGCACAGTTTTGGCACAAGTAGGCTGTGTGGTTTGTGTGCGGGAGTGTCTGTGTCTGTGTAGTACTGATTATCTCGAGGTAGTTGGCATCTCAACGCACGCATGGTGCACAGCATCTCATCTGCTTCATTACTTGTGGCTGTGTTGTCATCCTCTATATTCTGCGATTTATTGTCTAAACTGTGTTTGTGTGATTGTAGCTGTGTGTGTATGGCCGTCTGGGCCTCGAATTGCTTAGTCTGACAGGTCTTCTCTCTGCAATAGAACACATACAATGTGCGGTGATACGCTTCCTCTGGCTTATCATCGAATGGTGCATACAACTGCATGAGAAAGCACATGGGGTTGTCGCACTCAGGACACATCAACAGGGCACTCGCAGGGACATGTGGCATGCAAAGCCATTCAGGCTTACCCCCGGTCTTTGAGGGGAACAGGTCCTTCTCCTCATTTTCTGCAAAGTCGTCTACAAACCCCACAATCACCGCATTGCCTGGCACCTGCCCTTCTTTGTCTGGGGTGGTGTCTATTGTTGTCGATGTGTTCATTGTGATCGGGTAGCGTGAATTAGTATATACTATACCGGTCGTATTAAAAGCCTCTCTTAGTAAAACAATTGTCCTCACCGGTACACTGGTGTGTCCGTTAACGGGTTTATATTGGTCAAGGTTACAATCTATACTATCGAGGAATTGTCGAAGATCACGCACTACCTACGCCTCTAAAGTCAGGATGATGTATTTAATTAGAACACTTTTAAATCAAAAAGGTGGAGGGCCACAGCATTGGAAGCATTGCTGAACAGTGTACAACTTGGGAACTATAATATAAATATATATTATTGTACTGATAACACTATTCTTACTAAATATATATCCACAAATGTTCTCACACCTAGCACTGAAAGACCTACAGACGACAACACAGATGCAGCCTCGCAGTCGCAGGTTGTTTTGGTAAATATCTGTGGGGTCCTTCCAGTGCACGTGCTGTAAGTTATATTATGCCGTGCCGCCAAAAAAGCAGAAAACCCTACATACATACTACGTACTAGGAAATTATTATTTTTTGTCTGTAATTTTTTCTATTTTTACAACAAAAACAATATATAGAAACAATAAAATTAACAATAAAATATGTGGAGATTTGTTAGACTGCGACCATTGTGACTGCGACCGGGTCTTGTGACCACAATG